CAGAGATGATACCTTTTATTAGACCAACTAAGAAATTGCAGAATTTATTTTACACTGGGTTTCTACAGCTGGTTAGAGACAAACATTTGACCTAAATGCCTTGCCGTTTTTCCATTTCACTTTTTCTATTATTAAAAAGCCCCTAAACATTTTAATAAATAGTTTTACTGCTGACTACAATGATAATAGCTATTCTAGGCAGCTATAAAAGAAAAAAAAAAGCTGTTAAATAAAAACTTCATGGGTATCTGTTCACTAATGGACTTCATGGATGACCTATGCCTATAGGAACACCGCTTGCTGCCTTACATACGCAAGCAATTCAGGAGGAATTGAAAGGAAAACGACAGAACAGATGAAGCAACTGGGATCCGACTCCCAAATCATTTATCATTGGAGCCAGGCAGGCTTTTCCAGGGTGACTTCTAACTTCATCTGTTTTCTCTTTGGTTGTACCGTATGCTGCTGCCCTCCAGTGACAGAGAAGCCACGGTCTCAGCTAAGTTGTTGCAAAGCTGCAGGCAAAAGCTCTCCATAGGTCTGCTGCATCCCACGAGCCAGATCAGAAGCCGGAGGGACAGGAAATGTCAGTATGGAGATGAACAAACATTTACTAATCAAGTGAAATCACAGACGTTGTGTTGGGTAAATATTTGTTCTGTTTGCTTGGCATTTCATGCAAAATAAATGCTTCCTTACATCCATTTTAGGGCTTCTTTATACATCCCAAGTTCTAGGCACAATCCAGCCAAGATTTAAGTGAACCAGGGCTTCTCTGGGTACAAAATCCAGAAACCTGTTGAAACTTAGGAGATGCAACTGGTTGCTGTCTTCTGAAATGTGGAAGGTTAAGATCATGGCACATCTTTGATCAAATTCAGTTTGAAAGTTCGGTTTAAGGGGCATTCCTCGTCAGGCCTCCAGTTTTTTAATGAATTATCTTTGATGCTTACAATTTCCAGAGTCAGCAGTAGCTTGAAGCCTCTCAGCAGAGTACAGCATTCATCCCTCTTCATGGGTAATACGTACTCTTGCACCGAATCGGAAAGCGGTTATAACAGCAGCTCTGCCATGCTTTGGTTCCCCTGGATGACCATGATCTCTCTAACATAGAATAAAATAATCATTAAATGATAACCTTATGTTGCTGCCATGGAAAAAGAAACCCATGAGAATTTAGAAAGGTACAGTACGATATTCTCTGCTGTTTGGATAGGGTTTACAAAGGGTTTCTCAGGCTCCCATTTATCCTGTCTCTCAGAAGAGCAAAAAGACATCCAATGAACCACAAAGCAATCTGCCTAAAGCACAACACAGATCTTGAAAGGTGTGAAAATCAGTGCAACCAAGACTGAACTCTGGACCAGCTGCCAAACAGTGGAAGATCCTAGCCACACAAAGATGACTTGCAGAGCAATTGAAACAGCAAAGCAAAAAATGATCACTCACTTCCACAAAGCATTGGGACTTCTGACCATCTTGTATTTTGAAAGCAAGTGGCACTGGGCAACATGCCAGAAATGCCCATGTAACCGTGGTGGCAGTGAGAGGTACGACTGCTCCCGGCAGAATAGTCAATCCGATTCGTGTACAGTGACACAACAAACCGACGTGGTGATGGGCTAACACAGCTACCTAGCACTAAAGAAACACACACGAAAAACAAAAACTTGAGAAAAATATAAGGTTTGATACCAAAGTTCAGGTCTGCCCTTTAGGTGCCAGAACCCTAACTTGATAATCTTGAATTTCAACATCGAAAGACTCACCTC